GAAGATGAAATTCAAGACTCAATCTTTCGTGGGAAAGGTGATGCTAACCGTTTTTTTGGACTCAAAAAGGCCTATACTGGAAGACTACCTGGAAAAAGGGTGTACGATCAACAGTGCAAGATACAGTGATTTGCTGGCCAACAATCTGAAGCCAGCAATTCGCACCAAATGCTGAGGCCTATTATCGAAGAAAGTGTTGTTGTTGCATGACACTGAACACTCACACAAGGACGGCCAGACCGTTGAAACCATTAACCATTTGTATTTCGAGGTGCAGGAACACCCTGCCTACAGCCCAGATCTTGCCCTTTCAAACTATCATCTCTTTGGACCGCTCAAAGATGTTTTACGAGGTTTTTGATTTTCTACGAACAAAGAAGTGGGGGAAGCGGTGCATAAATAATTGCACTACCAGATGATAACCTTCTTCGTGGAGGGAATACGCAAGCTTTTGGACCTCTGGACCAAGTGCATCGAAAAGGGAGGAGACTATGTAGAAAAATGAAGTACTTGTTCAGCCACTACTTTTGCATATATGGATTGGAAAAACAAGAGTGCGGATAATTTTTTACTTCCCTACGTACATTCCTAAAGGAATAGCAGAAGGTTCAGAAACAACATGTTCCACCCCCACTTGCCTTGCCCTCTCTTCATTCCACGATTATAGCTGGCATGGGAAAGTGGCATATAAAAGTTTTATTAGGAAACCTTAAGGAAAAGAACCGTATGAGAGACAAGGGTATAGATGGGAGGATAATATTAAACTGTATTTTAGATAAATAAAATATGAGATCTGGACAGCATTTAGCTGTCCCAAATAGAGCCCAATGAGAGATTCCTTTGAACATAGTAAAAAACTTCAGGTATCTTAAAGTGGGAATTTTCTAATCAACTGAAAGACTGTTAAATTTTGAAGGAAGTCAGTTACATCTATAAAAGCTTATCGATTAAGATTGCAGGAAGACACAAATGGTTTGCATCAAGTGTCAACAAAGCACAGAAGAGGTTCCTTATCATTGGTAACGCCTCACTCAAATACAGAATTATTGGTTTCAGAGCAATATGTCTCATTAATAGCACAGAAAGGATTAATCTGATGTGCCACCATATAATCTCTGTAGCTGAGACAGCACTGTTGAATAATAATTCATGCATGGTGTCAGTATCTGTTAAGTTGTCTCAGCCATACTTTGAGCATATACAATTAATGTTGCCAAACATGAATCTGCAGGTGTAGGTTTTTTCAGGAAAAATCCCCCCTTCACCCAATTTAAAAACTTTATTTGATGTACAAAAGTCTATATTAGTTCTTGTTTTCCTCAGCAATGGCCATCCTTGGGGGCCTACGCGCCTACCACGAATCCAGACCAGCAGCAACAATAACAACAATAATAGTAACAGTAGCAGCAGCCCATTCAGTCCAGCCTCAGATCTCAGACGACTCCTTCGTTCGACTAATCAGTCTCCAGAGATTCCCACAAGGGAACATTCTGTCAAAAACAGCAGAGGTGACGATCAGGCAGAAACCGATTTCAATGGTCCATACAACTTCAGACAGTTACTGCGCCCAACTGAACATCTGCCTACAGAATCTCTCCGCAAGAGGAAAGGTATCTTGATGGGAGAAAGGACCAGTATGCCCCACACCAGTGTAACTCCACCAAACCATCCAGATGACGACAGTCCTAGTAAGCGAAGAGCAAAACCAGTTCACCCTAGGAAGATATAAGGATCTTCGCTGGTGCCATGCTATGATGTCCTATCCAAGGTCTTTGCAACTATTTCACTGTACAGGCCAGAATTGGTATATAAATGACTTTTGGACCAAAGAATCTGATACCTTGAGGACTGAATTAAATCCTCCCTGTTATTTGTATTCTTCCATTCCTATACTATTATATGAAAAACCTGATAATATATATTTAAAATATGCTGTCCCAGAATTTTGAAATACATTCCTTGTGATCTGCATTGATGACTGGCCCTTTTGTAAATAACTCTAATGTATATTTTATATCAAATTTCTCTTACACAGGTCTACAGTTTTCATTTGTAACTGTTTTTAGTTACCCATGCTATTATATTAATAAAATGCAAAAACAGATATTTTTATATATTAAGTAAAAACTGACCAAAATATACTTTACCTAAAAATTTTCAGTGGATATTCCACATATCAAACTTCAGAGCCCATAAACTTGTTTGAAAAATGAAACATTCCAGGGAAGTGGACAGACTCAAGAATCTCATTCTACAGGAGCTCCATCAGAATAGTTTATATAATAAATAATACCCCGATTATATGAGGGGCAGTCAAATGAAAATGGGTCAGAAGCCAAAACATATTAAAAAACATTTCTTACCTCAAAAGTAATCTCCAAAACTGTTATTACATTTATCCCACTGCGAGATAAGATGGTTAATCCCATCCTTGAAAAAGCTTGTGGGCTGTGTATGGAACCACATCTTTACCCAGCCACGCACGTCTTTGTCTGATGCAAACCGATGCCCATGAATATCTCTCTTCAGGTCTCCAAAAATATGAAAATCACATGGGGAGAGATCTGGGCTGTAGGGGGGATGTTGAAGCACTTCCCAACGAGATCTCTATAGCGTATTCGTCACAGAGTATGCATTGGGGGGGGGGCATTATCATGTAGAAGGATAATGCCATTCAATAGCATTCCAGGGTGGTGTGGCTTTATGGCATGTCTCGGTTTTGCAAAGTGTCTTCACAGTGCTGTGCACTGATTGTGGCCCCATGCTCGAGAAAATCGACAAACAGAGGGCCCTTGCAGTCAAAGAAGGTCATCATCACTGTACCGGAACCTGTGTGTACAGCTTTGGATTTCTTCGGTGGGGGAGAACTCACGTGTTTCCACTGTTGGCTCTGCTATTTGCTCTTGGCTTCAAAATGGTGGCACAAAGTTTCATCCCCAGTGGCAATACGGGACAGAAAAGCACGCTCTTCCTCATGGTATCATTGCAAGTGACCCAGTGATGCAGCCATTCTCTCAGTCTTGTGTTCCTCTGTGAGTTGATGTGGAACCCACTGCACGCAGATTTTGCAGTACAGCAGGTGTTTTGTCACAATGGCGTGTATGGAATCATGACTTGTTCCCATCAAAAGACTAATTTCTTCCACAGTGATCCGTCGGTTTGCCCGGATATGACCATCCAAAGCAGCAATAACATCAAGAGTGATGACACGATGAGCCTGTCCTGGGCAAGCATCATCTTGCAGTGACATATGTCCCTCTTGGAATCTCTTATGCCACGCCAGCACATGCAAACATGACATGCTGTGTTCGCCATAAACAACAGACATGCAACGATGAATTTCTTGTCCTCCTACTCCTTTAGCAGTCAAAAAGCGCACTACACTTCGCTGTTCTTCTTTACCCGCCTCCATTACTGATGTTAGACGACCACACATAGTGCTAACCATACTTCCAGCATAATAAACAAACGACTAGTGTGCAAGGGGACATCACTGTTCTTTTTTGAGTCCCCACCAGATGTTCATACCATAAGCAAATTCCAGTGTTACCAACTTGCGCGCTGTGTGAGTTATGCATGGTGACCCATTTTCATTTGACTGCCCCTTATATAAACAATGTTTTTCAATATAGGATGACTCCACACTTCAGTATTTGAATTTCTGGAGAAGTAGTTTAATTTCCATCAGTTCTAATGCCAAGTCACTGATTGCATATGATTTATAAAGTGCAATGTTACAATGTTACATGTTACAATATGATTTGGAAAGTGCAACAAAACTGCATTGTTCCTTCTAACACAGTCAAATAGCATCTGGTCACTTCCTGTTGCAACACAGAACTGCTCAGTATCATTACAATCTGTTCAGTGCTAACTTCTTGTTCACTATATTGTTTCAAAGTGAGTACTCAAAAAGTGAACAATGGTCTGTATGTTTTGATAGCAATTCTGTCCACAGTTGAACAGTAGTGCTCCTTGTGCCATGTACAGCAATGAGTGCTATGTAAACCTAGTGATACAAATATCTGTCCTGTTGAGGTGTTTCTTTAAGTTGTGATAACATGGGTCCTAATTTTTTTCCATTCTAAATTAGGGAGAAGAAGCCTTATGATGTGGTGAATATATTATAC